TTTCTTTTTTATGTTATAGATAGATTTTTTTCATTTCAACAAATAAGTATTTTCTTTTCATTTGGGGGGGGGGGGGAGGTGAGGAGAGTACCATAAAAAAATATTTTTAACTCTCTAACCATATACTAGAAAATATTTTTCGGAAAAAAGTTTTCCACTCACCAACCAAACAAAGAAAAATAAATGATAAAACCACTCATTTTCCAAGAAAATATTTTTCATGAAAAATATTTTTCTTCGTACCCTGAGTTTAAGAATTTTTTTTTAAAAAACTAGGGATCTTAAATATGCCATAAGATTTGTATGACTATAAAAGTATGTCATTAAAAGTAAAATATGAAGTGTAAAATTAAAAAAATTATTTTATATCATTCCTTTTAAAATAAATTAATAAGAATATAATGTCAAATAAAATAAAATAAATAGAATTTTAATGAAGTAGAAACATGGACCACCGACCCTTATTTTGGTCAAAAGCTAGTACGCAGTTAAAGGATTTGAGAAAGAAAATCTCGTTTTATTGATTATTCTCGTGTGATACAGTATTGTTTAAATAGAACTACAATACAAGAGAACTAAAATAAGGACTTAATAAATAATAGTTATCAGCTAATAGTCGAAGCTAAAGAGAAGAAAATTTAAAACAGATAGTGGAATATTATCTCTTAATTACTTATCAATACTTATCCTAACATCTCCTTCAAGCGCAGAAGCTTCTCACGAAGAAATAAAAAACGTCGAACCGATAAACCTTTCGTCGATGTATCAGCTGTCTGATCGAGGGAGCTTATATATCCAACCTCAAGGTCTTTTGAAGCAATCTTCTCTCTGACGACGTGAAAATCCAACTCAGTGTGCTATGAAATTTTTCGTGGGCCCATCATAAGCTATCCAATGAACAACTATTGTTGTTCGTATTTTGATGTTATAGGGCAATAACATAGGAATTTGGTATGATTTTAAATTTTTCTTGTGCTAATGTCAATGTCAATTTGACCGCCGCCACCAAAATATTTGTGGACCCATCAGAAACGATCTAATGAACAATAATCACCGCTTCACCACGATTGTTCCTCGTTTTTAGCATTTTAGGATCATAAATAGGAATTTAGGATGATTTCTAATTTTTCGTGTGCTAACGTCCACGCTATCTTCATAATTCGGGAGACGGGCTCCGCTTCGCCTAAAATTTTGTGGGCCCATAAGAAACGACCAAATAAACAATAGTAATTGCTTCGACATGATCGTTCTTCGTATTTTTGTGTGTGGAGTTTTAGGGCTACAAAATATGAATTCAGAACGATTTTTAATTTCTCCATGATTGTTTTTCATTTTTTGGCATTTTAGGACCATAAAACAAGAATTCATGACTATTTCTAATTTTTTGTGTGCTAATGTCCACGCCATCTTCGTGAACTCGGGCGATAAGTACCGAATTGCCTAAAACAGGAATTCATGACGAATTCAAATTTTTCGTGTGTTAATGTCCACGTTATCTTCATGAATTCAGGCGACGGGTTTCGAATCGCGTAAAATTTTGTGGACAAATCAGAAACAACATAATGAATAATAATTTAGCCAATTCCTAATTTTGTTTTGCGTTTTAAGGCCATAAAATAGGTTTGTTTGATTAAATCTAAAAACTGAAGAATATAGCTTCTGTTGTTTTTTCCTGGCATAGATATTCGTAGATATACATTCATAGGATTTGGAA